TTGGATGGAGGGCAGGAGTAGGTCTGGAGATCTGGGGATCCAGAAGGCAGGGCGGAAACAGGACTGAGATATGTGAGGTGGTGAATGTAGTCCAGAATCCAAGAGGAGGTAAAGTCCAGATGTCTTGCTGGATGGAATGTGCATAGGGTGGACAGGATAGGGGATCCAGGAATGAGTCAGATATGGGGTCCGGAAATAGGTCCAGAAAGCGTGGGAATATGATGGGATCTATGTCTGGCATATGGGATATGACACCTGGCTGCTTCACCTGCAAAAGCAAGAATGTTTGACTCATGAGGGATCTGTGACTAGATAAGTGTTAGTAGTTATGATATCAGTAAACATGAAGCTATGCAAAAGTAACACAAAGGTGGAAATGACAAGTCTGGAGGTAAAAGTGTTGGCCAGAGCATGGGAACCTTCGGCCAGAGTGAGAAAGAGAAAGGGTAAAGTAAAATGAGGTTTGGACACTAAGGAAAAGCAAAGGGAATGCAAAGGGAGTAGGTATAGATGAGGTATTCACAAAGGAGAGACTATCAAGGGAGTGATAACACGAGGGGAGACAAAGTCTCTGAAATACAGGTCCAGAAAATGAGTGAAGAGATATATTCCAAAGTATACCAAAGTACCAAGACTATCCAGTGACCAAGACTCTAGAGAGGTAAGGAGAGGTGGTAAATGGTAAGGTATCCTATGCATCTGCATGGTATTTAACTAAGTACATGGAAATCTGGGATGCTAGTCAAAATTCTGGGTCCAGAAGTATGTATGTAATATGCATGCAAGTGCTGTGGCTCATGGGAATACATGTAAAATCAACTGCAAACTGTTTGGCTGGAGTACCTGACTACTGATTCCCAAGTCTCAAGTATTGACACTCAGTAGGACCACCAATACACTCACATAGACTTGGACTAAGACTTTTATTAAGGAAGTGAAACATAATAATGATTTTCATTTTTTTATTATTGCTGATGTTTCAGATTTCTTTAACTTATATCTTGGTCAAATTGTAACTGATGGACAAGAAAAGACCACCAACACACTAACCTAGTCTTGGACTACAACCTTTGTTAAGGAAGTTAAGCATAATAATGATTTTTATTTTTTCATTATTGCCAACATTTTGGATTTCTTTAGCTTATATCTTGGTCAAATGATGACCAATTGACAAGGAAAGACTGCCAAGACACTCACCTTGACTTGCACTACAACCTTCATTAAGAAAGTTAAGCATAATAACAACTTTCATTTTTTCATTATCATTTGCCTATATTGACTACCAAGTCCTGAGTCCCAACACTCAGAAGTCAGTAGTACCAGGTTTTGGGTTTTGGGCTTCAGCACTTGACACTTGGTGAATTGTGTAATGAAATAAAAAATTTCATGTTATATACATTTTTTTGAGATTCAGTTTTTGAGTCTTGAGATTTGGTTTGCAGTCTTCAGTTTTTGAGTTTCAGGTTTTGAGTCTCAAGTTTCAGGCTTTGAGTTTCAGCACTCAACACTCAGTGAATTATGTAATGAAATAAAAAAAATTCATGTTATATGCATTTTTTTGAGATTTGGTGTTTGGTTTTTGGTTTTTGGTTTTCAAATTTTGGGTTTCAAGTCTTGAGTCTTGAGTTTCAGGGTTTGGGGTTTGGGTCTTGGCACTTGACACTCAGTGATTCAATAAATGGACTTCAAACTTTTTTGAGTTTTGAGTTTTGAGCTTCAAGTTTTGGGGTTCAGCACTCAACACTCAGTGATTTGTGTAATGGAATAAAATTCCTACATGTTATATACATTTCTGTGAGTTTTGAGTTTTGAGTTTTGAGTTTTGGGTTTTGGGTTTTGGGTTTTGGGTGTTTGTGTTTTGAGACTTGGTGATTTATGGTGAATGAAAAGTGAATATGTTGCACACTGGGTTCAGTTTTCAGGCTTCAGTACTTGGTGATTGGTGAATGTCAGACATGGTGTATTCAGGTTTTTGGGCTTCAGGCTGTGGTGGTCAATGGTAGGTATATGCACTCATATAGTAGGCATGTACTCCATGTGCTCAATTCTCTGGTGCCTACATCAGCACACTGATTTGTATGTTATCCAACTATCTCAGCCCAGTTATGTTTATTGCACTCATTTACCTGGGCCCACCCAACATGAAACTTCAGGTGTCAGCATTCAGTACTCAGCACTTGGTGAAGAGTTTTGAGTTTCAATGTTCAAGTTTTGGGTGTTGGTACTTGGGTTTTGGTACTTGGTACTTGGTACTTGGTGATTTGAGACTTGAAACTTGTAAAAATGTATAAGTTTGTTCAAGTTTTGGGTTTTGGTACTTGGTGAATATCAGACATAGTGTATTCAGGCTTTCAGGTTTCCATGGTCAATGGTAGGTATATGCACTCATATAGGGGTATGTACTCCATGTCTTTGATTCTCTGGTGCCTACATCAGCAAACTGATTTGTTCATTATCCAACTATCTAAGCCCAGTTATGTTTATATGTGATAACAACTACCTTGGCCCACCCATTGATATAATATATATCACTACCTCAGCCTATACATCCATACATCCATATAGTATACCAATACCTTGGCCCTTATGTCTATGGACTGTCTTCCGAGGTATTGCTGGATTTGGAGTCAACAGGGTGCTTGGCTGTGTTGACTTTGATCGACATGGACAGGATCTGAGTCTGAATGTCATTGATGACTTGGATCAAAACTAGTGCAACAGCATTGCTCATATGTCCATATAGTATATCAATACCTTGGCCCATACATCTAAATGATATGTATCTGGGCCCACCCATCTATATGACATCCCCCTACATTGGCCCACCTGTCTATGTAAAATACCCCAGGTCAGCCCACCCATATATATAATAAATATTTCACTGCCCCATCAGCCCACTCATCTACAAAATAATACTAATATGTTGGCCCACCCATATACAGTGGCTCAAAAAACTGTTTGCATGTTTTGACATTTTTCACTATCTATGATATTGTGTGAGAACTCACAAATGCCTCAAGGACATGGTTATACCACATTGTAGTATGGCTTCAGGGCTTTCATTTGAGCCCTACACCGTGGGAATCGGTGGAGATATGGTGGAGATACAAGGCTCACAAAATGGTGACTCATGCAGACAGTTTTTTGACTCAAGTATTTTACAATAATAACCAGGTATTCTAGTATTTTGTATGACCTCCCTTGGCTTTAATTACTGCCTCTATCCTTCTAGGCATACTCTCAATTAATTTCTAGCAATCCTCAGCTGTGATCTTCCCCCATTCCACTGCTACTCTCTCTCAAAGCTCCCATACTCCTTTAGGGGGGTTTTCATAGGCTTGAAGCTTTTTCTTGAGTGTTCCCCAGAGATGTTCAATGACATTGACATCAGGAGACTGTGCTGGCCAGTCAAGAACATTGATGTTATGTTCTTCAAACCATTCCTTAGCTCTTCTGGATGTGTGCTTGGGATCATTATCTCATTATCCTGTTGGAAAATGATATCTTCTTCATCAATCCCTGATTCTGCCAAGCTAGGCAGCAAGTGGTCATTTAAAATGTCCACATACTGCTCAGCATTCATCTTCCCCTCAACCTCAGCAAGCATTCCCACACCATTCCATCCCATACAGCCCCATACCATTAAAGAACCTCCTTCAAACTTGACAGTCCCATTAACCTCTCTGTCTGTTAGGCCATCTCCCTTCTTTTTCCATACATATACCTTCCCATCTGACCCAATCCTATTGATTTTGGTCTCATCTGACCATATAACATGCTTCCAGTCCTCTACAGTCCAGTGTTGATGAGCTAAGGCAAAGGCTAGTCTTCTCTGCCTATGTTTGATGGAGAGAAGAGGCTTTTTCTTCTTTGTTACTGCCTTGAGATGAGCTGCCTTGAGAACATTCCTCACAGTTTGTGAAGAGACAGGGGTAGTGATGGTGGAATTGATATAATGGGTGGCTTGGACAGCATTATCAGCCTTTCCTGTAGTGATATGTTGGATAATAGCCCTTTTGTCAGTAGAGGTAAGCTTGGATGGACATCCTCCACAAGAGTTTTCCTTGTCTGGGTGGCTTTCTTTGATAAACTTGGCCACAGTGGACTTGCATACTCCAGTTCTAGAGGAAATTTGGTGAGCAGAGAGGCCAGCATAAGACAGAGAGAGGATATTATCTCTTTGAGCAGAGGAGATGGCTTTCATGGTGATTTTGACTATGATACATGAGATATTCTGGTTTATATAGTTAGATATAGTCATAAAATAACATAATGACACCACTTCATAATTTATATAATAGTGGCATGATTTTTGTGGTGTCATAAATAATGATTTATATAGTTTTAATATACACTCAAAAAACTGTCCACATGAGTCATCATTTTATAAGCCTTATGTCTCCACCATATCTCCACCAATTCCCATGGTGTAGGGCTCAAATGAAAGCCCTGAAGCCATACTACAATGTGGTATAACCATGTCCTTGAGGCATTTGTGAGTTCTCACACAATATCATAGATAGTGAAAATTGTCAAACATGCGGACAGTTTTTTGAGCCACTGTAGCTTGATGCAGTGCTATGACCTCCAGAATAATATGTTGCAGCTGTTATGAACATGTTGAGTTCATAGATAGAACTTGGATAGGATTGCCATGACACAGGCTGAGACTAGCAAGTATTTGTTGTATCAGGTCTGTAGCAACTGAGTTGAGTACATCAATAAAATTATCAGCAGCTCTGACATAAGGTCACAAGACATGCTTCTCCTAAGGCTAAGGACATTAGCAGCAATGAGCTCCAATGAAAGTTACTTAGAGAAAAGTAGAAGATTGCTAGTTTTCTGAGAAGGAAGTTACAAGGCAACCAAGTGACCAGATAGAACCAAGTAGATTCAAGTTAGGGAAATACCAGTGCTACTTGATAGGTATAAATATCATTGACAGGGATAAGGGTAGGCCTGCTATATTAGTGGTCAGAGGAGAGGAGAGATGAGTTATAATGAGTCAGAATACCAAAGTAAGTAGCAAGTACTGGTCAAGTGGTAAGGGCAAAGGGAAAGGAGTCATGACAAGTTAGAATACCAAAGTAAGTGATAAGTACTGGTTAGCTGGTGAGGGCATAGGGTTAGTGAGTCATTGGATGAACTGAAGAATTGGTACAACCACATCAGGAAAAGGGAATGTTTTTTAGCTATCTTATCTTACTTAAACAGACTTAATTCTATGCTAAGTTCACCAAGTTGTGAAAGCAAATCATTCTGACTTGATTTCTGCTTAGAGAATTGTTCATCAAGAAAACACAACAATAGTAAGTAATGCATGGCTGAAAATTCAGTATGACCATAATGTTAAGCAGGTAAGTCATATAAGTTTAAAAAATGAGAACAAATCAGATGTCGTGATTTAAGTCCACCTTGAGTTGAAATCATGTTCAAGTAGGAAGGTTATTTTTATGATATATATAAGTACACATATGCAGCATAAAGTACTACTTGTATCTAGTTTCTATCCAAGACAGAAATAATTCAACTGTCAGCAGTAACATCTGTGCAGTTGTGGAACTACTAGCACAGGATGGCATCTATGATTCCAATGCAGACATTTTCAATAATCCTGACATCTCACAGTATGTTATTCTTGTTCAGGGTGACCTAGGAACAGGAGAATGCCTACAATCAGCACAACTTTGATGGTTATTAGAGGTGACTCTGAGGAATGAATTTCAGCACATTATCTTCAGTACAGGATTGCTCCACTTGAAATGGCATGTGCTAATGCCATTTGGCAAACCTTCCTGCAGCCATTAGTGGCTCAAGAGGATGAAACAAGCTTGATGCATGATGTAACACAACTTCAACCCAAGGAGACAGAAACATACTGCTCAAAGCCAGGGTTCCAGTAAATACACCAACTGATAGGACATGCTGGCATATGTTGCTGGCTTGACTGTTGGTGAGCCCATGTAGTGACTATGGATCCAGGTCACACAAGCCTTGAGGTATTTGCAGCCTTCAAATCAACTCTTAATGAATGAAAGACCATTGTGAGCAAGATAGCATTAAAATATGTTGTGACTCACAAGCTACTCCAGATGCACCACAAGTCTTGGAAACAATGTGATATGCAACATGAAGATTCACTCCTACTCAACAAATTTTCCTTCTCTACAAGGAACTATCTTACTCAATGAACTGTGGGAATATCAGGTGTGTAGAGACATCTATTATTACATGTATTCTGATCATTAAAGCAACAAGAAAGCATAAGTATGCAACATATATGACAAATTTCTTGATCAACATGCACTGTGTTTTTCCTGCTAGCCTTAGGCATGCTGTGCATTACCATGTCCTCATCAACCCAAATGGAAAGGTGATGAGGTGGCAAGCAGTTGATTGGTGTGTTGAGCTGAACAACCTGTTTACTAAGGTATGCCACCTACACTACTGGGTAGTGTTGCTGCAGCTTTGGCTAGCACTGGCTAAAGCCGGCTCTGATTCTCAGGCTTGACCAAAACTCACAAGTCACACTGCTTACATAATCAAAACTTGGTCTGGCTTATACAGCCACAGCAAGTAGCTGCAAGCTGGCTCAAGCCTATGTAGATAATTTTAGTGTAATTTAAATTTAGAAATGAGATTAAATTTAGAAACATTACATCTTACTATTGATTGATTATTGACAATCCACATAAATGACTTAGTCCCCAAGATCCTTCACATACAACAAAAATGGGACCCCAAATTGCAGTACATCATACCTTTGTGACATTTGGACATGCATTAAGTCCAAAAATAGGACTGTATCACCATCGCCAAAACCAAGCAGGTGACAGCAAGGAATGCAGAGATGTTGAGGGAGACAAGAGGTTCACAGGATCGAGAAGTGTTATTTGTTCATATGTCAGGGTGCCTGTCAAGGTTTTGGATTGTGTTGGCAAAGGTACTCAGGTTCAGGGTCTGAGAGAATGAGTGAGTGCATTCTACAGCATATCCTAAAGATGATTGAACTATTTTGGTTAGTAGCAACAATAATGCACATGCAAATGCAAACACACTGAACGCCATGCTTGCTCTGTCGAGGGATATGAGGAACATAAGGTTGGTCATCTCCTTCCACAGTGAATCCCCCATCTTTCAACAACCCCTCATCCTCTCCCTTCTTGGACTTGTGATGATGTGCATTCTGATCACTACCCCTAGGATTAGTCAGTATTTGTACAACAGAAATGTGAATGACACATGCACTCTGCCACTTTCTTCACAAGTAAGGCATCACCATGCACGAAAATTATGAACACATTTTTGCATGTCTCAGTGCCAGTAGCAGGATCAACAAAAGGCTCTGTGATATCTGTGTGATTCATGTACAGGTTACCCCTTAGGACATGCCACAAGACGCGCTTGAATGTCGATATGCAGGAATATGAGTCCATATAGGATGTGACCTAAAACCACATTTAAAACAGGGGATGTCAAAGCAGACTTATACATATGTTTGACAGTACCATTGCAATACAGCTGAGAACTCAGCATTCAAAGATGGAAGAAGAATTGGGATGGCCCTGCAGAGACAATGCAAGGGCTTCACGAAAAAAGGAAGTAGTAGTATCAATATCTTGAAGAATGATTGGACACCAGTCCAGAACCAACTGAAAATGCTGCAAAGCAGCATTTAGGTGAGAGACCCTCCAGCAGCATGTCATGTATTTGGCAAATCTTGCATGGCCCACATCTGTGTCTTGACCAAGCTCACAATCTACGAGAGACTATAGTTGGCGTTCCATCAGCAAAAGCTAACAGCATAGGCCAGCATCACTCACACCAGACAGTGCATCATCCTGATTGTCACAAGCATGTATGACAGCAACCTTCAGTATGAGGGAAGGGTAGGCACCATGCACAGGTGGGAAGGATAGATCTATGAATGTTATTATATGAGCATGAATGAGGAACAAGTCACTAACCAAATGGTTTGTCTCCATGATGAAGCAGCTTATTCCACAACATTTTAAGTTTACTGATGACAGATATTTGAGAGTCAGTGTAATGGGCATGTTGAATCACACCATGACTTACAATCCTCTCAACTTGTGATAAAATTTGTTTTTTGGCTTCCTCTACATTCTCCTTGCAGCCTGTAATCTGTTTACAGATACAGTGAGAAATAGGGAGAGAAAAGACAAGTAAGGTGAGCAACTACCTTGACCTTGGATTTCTGATGGACAGCCACCTTCTTCTTGCCTGCCTCCTTTTCCTTCTCATTAGCTTCATCTGAGAAGTCAATCTTGACACCGAGAGCATCACAAAGTTTGTTGACACCTGAACCCTGTGCGCCAACAATGTTTGCCATGTATGTGGATCCATCAAAAACTTACCTTCTCAGAGAACACAGCAGTCTCTTGGAGAACATGCTAGGCCTCCACCAGCTCCCTCATGCACTCACTCAACATCTTGTAGCTATCATTCATCTGCACAAGCCACATCTCATGCTTGGCAAGTGTGACATCAAGCTCATCAATATTATGCACAGCACTCAGTCCAGCCATGACTAATGGGGATGAATCATATAGAGGATGGATAGGAATGTTAAAAGGGATTGACAGCAGGGTTCAACTGTGGTATCATTCAGCAGCATGACAACAGTTGAAAGGAGCACACGTATGTCCTTCAATTGAACATTTTCCAGTTCACTGAGCTCTGTGACTGCATCATGGGCAACTTCAGTTGGGACAAGGAACTGCCTTAAGCTCATCTGTCCCAAACCTGTGAACATCGTCAGTAAGTAAAACAGAGTCATCACAGTTCAGGCTCACATGTACAGAACAGCATGGGGTAGTCATCTCCCATGGTATTGATTCATCTGTCTATCAAATAAATGAGAGCAAAGGTCAGGACTCAGGACAACATTAGAGAAGTAATGCTGCTCAACGCATGCACAAGTGTTGCGGCAAAGTGAAAATACCGCCCATAGTCTCAACAGTCCGCCCTGAAACTCCTTGCTGGTAATCACAACATGTTGATATCAGAGATGGTTGGGACTGGGTTGGGTGAAGCACACACTGTCAGCTGGTCACTGTGCAGCTGGTGAGAAACACATAAAGCATTGAAATCAAAACCAGCACAACAATGAGCAAGATAGTGCAAACAAAAGGTGAGAGGCAAAACAGTAGATGCCAGACAATAAAAAAGTCATGAAAGTAAGGGTCACTTGTCATAGATGATAGCAGTGTCCTCAATATTGTCACACTCCTCCTCTGCAATGGCTCTAAGAAGAGCGTCATTTGCACTGGGGGTAGATGTCAAAGGCTCACTAGAGCCCATGTCATATACCACCCCATGTTCCATGTCCCATTGAGAGGCTGCCCAACCTTTCATAAAGTTAAGCCATTCTTTCTTCAAGAAAAACTTGACCATCTGCAATGCTTCCACCAAAACAGGACTGAGGTGATTCCTTTTCTTTGTATGGGTTTTGCTGCTGGATGAAAATACTCACTTGCACAGCACTGCAGAGGCTTGTACTGGAGTGTAGTCCATGGCAATTGAAAATATAGTTGGGAATATGGACTGCAAAGCCTAGTCAACAGCTCATGGTTAATGAAAAGGGTGTGACTTGTAGAGGTAATGGACTCATGTTCCAGAACACAAGTATGTCTGTTCCATGAGGACTAAGCATAGCCATGGCATAAGCAGCAAACTCCTGATCTACTGTTTGACCACTGCCGTGGTGATGCGGCACATATGCATGTGCCATGGGAAGTCCATAGCAATGTGAGCCTAGTGTGTGTGGCAGCAGTCATGGGGCCACTACAGGTTGAGAATGTGCAGGATCAACATTTTCTGCTCTTTTGCTATGCATCTACAGAAAAAATCAATTCAATATCATGCATTTATTTACAACAGAGACATACCAGCTTCAAGATAAACTCCTTGGCTTCAGTAACATGGTCTTTCTCCCATAGACTGTCCATCCAAGACATCTGCATCACAGGGTCAATAACTATGAAAGTAATCATGAGATCAATATTTATTAAAACAAAACATGGGACTGACACATAGCAACAGAATAAGCATGTGTTGCACTCATCCAGTCAGTGTATTTGCTCACCCAGGTTAAGCCTATGTCAACAATAGGCTTACAGTAAGGTATGTGCTGGCCAAGAGACTCCCAGCTATTGATCAACTCTTCAAAAGTTGGAATGGCATGGCTCAGTAAGGGAGTGCTTTCACTGGAGAGTTTTTGCTGGGTGGTGTGCGGTGCCTGGTATGAAATGTTAAATTAGATCACAAGCTTTGAACACATCAGTACTTACCTCCAAGATCACTTTCAGGTCCTGAAGGAACTGCCAATCAACATCACTCAATCTTTTGTTGGATATGTTGCATTGAGGCCAAGCATCAAAAAAGGCATTTACCACCTGAGCCAGTATTGGTTTATGACATATGTTTTATGATGTGCAATCTTACCTGCTGCAGTGTCCACAAATGGTTAATCATGATATATACCGAGTCCCATCTAGTAGGCTCATCAAGGAGGAGTTCTATGACCAGGAGCTGTATAGAGTCACCCTTGTCATCTCAAAACCAACCATCCTCATTACCCTTAAAGATGCAGTCACAAAACCTGTCACGCTGCTGATCTGATGCATGGATCAATCACATGATTGTCCTGGCTTGCTCGAGAGGCTTGGTTTGTACAGCCTGGACATAACCAACTTTCTTGATAACCTGATCTTCGATTATCTACATATTGGACACAGTAGAATAGTCAGCAGTAGGGTATTCATCAATGATATGCTTCATGCATATGTTTATCACATGCAGGAAACACAGTATCCTGTGTTGCCCTAGTAGTGTAGAAAGCTCCTGCATTGTGGTATGATTGTTGGCCATGTTGTCAAGAGTAAAATGGCCGGTCTGAACAATGTGAGAGCATACAACACAATACAAATGAGTACCAACCTTAGCCATAGTTTCTGCATGATCAAGGAGATATAATATCATGGAACCAAGAGATTGACCATCATGATTTCCTGGGATATGGTGGAAAGCAAGGAGGGCCATCTTCAACACAAGCATTGAACCTTGATTGGACCTGGCAATCCAATGAGCTGTAAGGGCCATGAACGACTGGAGCTTTTGATCTGACCACAGGTCAGATGTGAAGCAGACTTTTCCCTGCACATTCTAAAAGGAATAAGATACTTCATAGGACACTTGGCAACTATACACTTACAACAAGATCTTTCTTCAATGCCAGAAAGTATCCCTGCCATTGCTCAATGACCATCTCACAAGCCTTTGTGTGATGAAATAGGCCAGTCTTGCCAATCTCCAGGTGCAGGAGACATACAAGGCACCAAAATTCAGGGCACTTGATCATATTGATTGCCTGGGGGCAATTATTAATAGTGGCTGTAGGCATAAACTGTGACTTACTTGATCATCGGCAACAATAAACTTTACAATTTGACAATGCATTTCATCAAGCGTGAAGTCCAGAATTTGTTAAGAACCATGTTGCTCAAGGGGGAGAGAGACTGACTCAGAGGGGCCTGGGCTCAGCTCGTATGCTGTGCCCCTTACCTGAGTATGTGCCCTTCATTGCGTATGAGGTCCAATGATGGTCCAATGAAGTCTAGAGGACTTTCAGAGGCTGGCTACTCTGCTGGAGAGCACTAGAGGACTTCTGGAGGAGCGCAGGAGAGTTCCGGAGAAATGCAGGAAGTGCTCAGGAGAGTTCCCACTGCAAGGTAATACTTCTACAGGAAACAGGATGGAAGGATAGAAGGTCCAAAGGTCCAGAGGTACGAAGGACAGGATGTCCAGAGGTACGAAGGACAGGATGTCTGAAGGACAGGAGGATAGGATGTCTGAGGGTTAGGATGCCCAGAGGTACGAGGGACAGGAGGTCCGGAGGTCCGGAAGGAATAGGGGCTACATCAGATGGAGTCCAATGTAGAAACAAACAGAGGTAGACTACCCTAAGGTAGAGTTGGAGGGAACAGAGATTGGACCTAAGTCCAGAAAGAGGGTAAGTGCTGGAAAGGCAGAGCTCCGGCCTATGGAATCAATCCCTAGGCCTGATGAGTAGGACAGACTTAGGTGGACCAAAGTCCGAGAGAGGATTGGGCAAGTCTAAGTTGATATTCAAACTAAGGAAACTACAGGAGTATCTACAGGGGTTATATACTGGAGACTATCTGAGGGGATCAGTAAGCAAAGGAGCAGGGCTATGTATGAGCATGTGGAAACACATTAGTAAGTAAGATGGAACATAAGTAAATGAACTCAGAGATGAAGACTTGTACAAGGATCAATAAGCAAGATGGAAGAAGAGGTAACTGAAAGCTGGAAAGCAGAGAATGCCTAAATGGGGATAGGCGCAGGATCTTGGACAGAGGGTGGGAATAGGTCCAGCGTTAATATCCAGAGGTCCGGAGATCTGGGGATCCAGAAGACAAGGTGGATACAGGACCGGAATACAAGAAGGTGGATATAGTCTGGAATCTGAGATGAGGTGAAGTTCAGATGTCTTGCTGGATGGAGTGTGCATAGGGTGGATGGGACAGGGGGGTATGGATCAGGCTAGCAGTGGAGATCTGATGGTCTGGAGCTCAGGGGTAAATCCAGAGTGTAGTTGATCCTGCTGAGGTGTGGAGCACACAGTGGAAGGGGATCTGGGAATGGGTTGGATGTGAAGTGGGGTCTGGACATAGGCTTGGAAGGCGTGGGAATATGATGGAACATGGGTCTGGATTGTGGGATATGACATCTACCATGAGGTGTTGCATGTAGGTGTGGATGCACTACCACTCCTCAATTTTAATTACTGCATGATATGATCAATACAGTCTAATGATAAGAATTAGCTAGATGAATCAACCATTTCACCTTGCACAGAAGTTGAATCACTGGACACTACCACTTGGTGATGTAACCTGTTTGAAAGCAATTCAAACCTTCAGTGGCAGATAACCATACAGCACTGGTCAGGAGATAGAAGGGGGTGTATGGCAGGACAGCAAGGAGTCCCAGGACCATCGGGTTGGCCAAAATCCAACAAGCATGTAGCCAGTACATGCAATGTGGCACAAAGACTGTGTAGTAGTGAACAAAGATGATTGTAATCAGGATCTTCAGCAAATGTGAGAGAGCAGGTGTAAATAAGAATGTTTGTGAATCCAACAGGGATGTCATGGCATATTTCTGCAATGGTAGCCCATGCTTTGTGCTTGAGTATGGTAGAGCTGGATAATTTCTTGTCATCACTGGCTAACCATGGAAGGGAGCTATGCAAAAAATAGATTAGCATGTAAGTGAGCAACTCAAGATTGTCATGGCAACCTGGCTCAATTCCTAGGTGATTGTTGATTGAGGCAAATACAGGAGTACCAGAGAGACTTCAACCATGGCAAAATGGTACATGGTCACTGGTTTTAGTGTTCCAGTATGTCTTTGTGATTCCAAAATTGATGATATAGGCAGTGTGCCTCAAATTTCTGAGACCCACCAAGATGTTCTGCAGTTTGATGTTGCCATGAACATAATTGTGTGAGTGAACATACTCAGATGCAAGAGCTGGGAAAGTCAGTCAACCTATCTGCAAAGACCTTGGACCAAATGACTGACCAACTGGACTCCAAGATTGACAATGTTGAGAAGGCTGAATCTTTAATTGTTTGCAAGAAAGAGTTGGTGGAGTGATGGCCCAAGGAGTTCAAGGACCAGAACATGATGTGCTGACTCTCTACCAAACCAGAAGGTGTGTGGGATGCCAATTCTGCCTTCAAGTTGTTTCAAAATATAGTATTCACGCTTGACAGAAGATGAGTGGTTGACAACAGTTT